AATTGAAAACAAAGCAATACTCTCAAATTCACTCCTGCAAGCAAGCATCACCTTGATCCCAAAAGTAGAGAAAGATCCAACCATAAAAGAGGACTATAGACCAATCTCCCTAATGAACATAGATGCAAAAATCCTCAATAAGATACTGGCAAACAATGGAGAAGATCATCAAGAAGATCATACACCCTGATCAAGTGGGATTCATCCCAGGGATGCAAGGATGTTTCAACATACATAAATCAATAAATGATACACTATATTAACAGAGCCAAGGACAAAAATCATATGATCATCTCAATAAACGCAGATAAGCATTTGACAAAATCCAACATCCATTTATGATTTTAAAAAACCCTACAGGAAATTGGAATAGATGGTCTTTATCTCAAACTGATAAATGCTATCTATGAAAAACCAATAGCCAACATCATGCTAAACAGTCAAAAACTGAAATCTTCCATGCTAAGATCAGGAACAAGACAAGGATATTCACTATCACCACACCTGTTCAATATAGTTCTGGAAATATTAGCCACAGGAATTAGACAAGAGAAAGAAATGAAATAAAGACAGAAAAGAAAGAAGTTAAATTGTCATTATTTGCTGACAACATGATACTCTGTAAAGAAAACGCCAAAACTCTGCCAAAAGACTTTTAGACTTAATTGCCAGATTCAGATGAGTAGCTGGATACAAGGTCAACACTCAAAAATCAATAGCCTTCTTGTTCATGAATAACAGACTCACTGAGAGAGAAATTGGGAAAACAATTCCTGTCACAATAGCATCCAAAAAAATGAAATATCTAGGAATTAATCTAATGAAGGAAGTAGAAGACCTCCACTTTGAAAACTACAGCACTCTGAAAAAAAGAGATCAAAGGGATATCAGAGAGTGGAAAGACATCTTTTGTTCCTAGGTAGGAAAACCAATACAGTGAAAATGGACATACTTCCCAAACTGCTATATAGATTCAATGCAATCCTGACTAAAATCCCAACAGTATATTTCACAGAACTAGAGAAAACAATCCAAAAATTTATTTGGAACCAGCAGAGATTTAGAATAGCAACAAAGACATATAGGGGGTATCACAACCCCCAACTTGAAACTCTACTACAAAGCCTCTGTGATAAAAACAGCATAGTACTGGCAAAGAAACAGACCCAATGATCAGTGGAGTAGACTACAAGATACAGAAAAAACTCCAGACATACTCAGCTACCTCATCTTTGACAAAGGAGGAGGAAAGACAACCTTTTTAATAAATGGGGCTGGAAAAACTGGGTTTCAATCTGGCAAAGATTAAAACTAGACCCATATCTTTCACCATGCACTAAACTAAAATTGAAGTGGATCAAAGTTCTAAATACTGAAAGAGAAACACACACCTGCTGGAAGATTGGTTAGGTAGAACTCTTGAAGACACTGGCATATGAAAAGAGTTTATGAACAAAACCTCAGTAGCATTAGCATGGGAACTAGCACAAAGGATCAACAACTGGGATCTCATCTTGTTAAAAAGCTTCTGCATAGCAAGCAAAACCACCAACAGAATGAAGAGACAACCTACAAGGTGGGAAGAAAAATTTTACCAGCTGTTCCTCAGACAAAGGACTATGATCTGGAATATAGAGAGAATTTAAATAAAATCAGGACACACCCCACACACACCAATTTAAAGACCCAATTCAAAAATGGGCATCTGAAATGAACAGACATTTCTCAGATGAAGAAGTAGAAGCAGCAAATAAACATGAAAAAATGTTCAACATCACTGGTCATTCAAGAGATGCAGTTGAAACCAGCACTGAGATTCTATCTCACTCCAGAAAGAATGGCTTCTATCAAGAAATCAACCAATAACAAAGGATATTGTTGGTGGGAGTGTAAACTGGTGCAACCACTGTGGAAATCAGTGTGCAGATTCCTCAAAAAAGTAGGATTAGAGGTCCCATTTGACCCTGCTGTTTCCCTTCTGGGTATGTTCCCAAAGGAATTAAATGCATCATACCATAGTGACATATGTGCACCCATGTTTACAGCAGCACAATTTTAACAGTTAAATCTTGGAAACAGCCCAAAAGCCCATCAACTGGTAAGTGGATAAAAAAGATGTGTTTTTTTAATATACAATAGAGTACTACTCAGCCATAAAGAAAGATAAACATGAGACATTTACAGCTAAATGGATGCACCTTGAGGACATTCTCATAAGTGAAATAAACAGGACACACATGTGTAAATATGGAATCATTTCTCTGGCATGAGAAACTGAAGGTGTAAATGAGGACCAAAATATATATTGTGAAATAGGATGAAAATATTCAAAGGGAAAGGAAAACTAGGGAAGGGGGGCAGGGGAAAGGGAAGATGTGAAAGAAAAAAATTGAAGGTAAGAAGGAAAAACGGAAACAAAGCTTATGTATATAGGGGTTAGAGGAGTTGAAGGGAGGGCAGTGGAATGGGAAAAAATAAGAATCAAGATATATCATATACAGGTACAAAATCTCAATGATGAATGTGATCATAAGGTATACTTAAATGTACCAACAAACTCAATTAAAAAAAGAATTTACAGAAATTACAAATCTGGATTTTTATATAGAATCTCTCCACACAGAAATAGAGCAGCTATGCTTGTATGCAGACATGGAGACAGTAAAGAACAAACTAGAAAGCATCAAAAATATTAATCTTAGGGAAACTGACCTTCTTTTATGAAGGAAAAGATTTACCACCACCTCCTAACTAGTCCTTTATTGAATTAAAAAGTGCTTCTATTGCTGGGCTCCAATATATAGTCAAGATCAATAAAACTGCTGGTTTTTGTAGCTAGCAAATACTGTATTTTGAATAAAATTTAAGCAATGGGTTAGGACATTCTGGAACATAATCAATGAGGGAAAATTGCATAAATCCTCAAAAAAATTTTGATCATGTTCCAAAGTCAACGATGTATACGATTCATCTGATCCTCTTCCAGATGGTCTGAGGATATCTGAGCTAAATCCTTGAAGAAATGGTTAGTATAAGAGATATAAAATGAACAAATAAAAAACTTCATTCCAATCCTAAAATAAAACACTAAAAATCTGCAGCAGATGGTATGGATAAATGTCTGACAAAGGCAGGAATGATTTTTTTTTTATCATCAGCAACATGGATTTGGGAGAGAGACAAGGATATTGAATTACAGGAAATACAGTATTGATTTTTGAAAATGGAAAAAAGATTGATTCTGGGCAGTACCTCAGGTAAATTTTGATCTCTATAAAGGTATTCAGCTGGATTCTAGCATCAAGGAGACATCTTAGCAGACTTTCTGAAACCCAGGGAAGAGGATTGGGAAAGAAGAAGTATCTATCTTCCCATTCTTCTCCATGAATCCCAAAAGGCAGCCAACCGTGTGCTCACAGCACTATACCCCTGACCCTGGAGGACCAGAGTGCCTGACCTTCAAGTGAAATTTCCAACTTTCATCCAATACATGGTTGGGGGAGGTGGCTGAATAGGGGGCCCTTGCTAACTTCCACACTTCAGTGTCCTGGTTACCAAAAGCACATTGCGGTTATCTGGGGTACTGAAGGGCTGGGGTGTGATATGTGCATCCTCAGCTTCCTCCTTCTCTTAGGAATTATTTATTTGCCCTTCATTCCAGCTATAACTTGGCAAAAGAGTACAAGAAACTCAATGCCATTCCAGCATATCAAAGACATCCTCCAATACATTATTATCCAAACCAACGTCCAGAATATCTGCCTTGGCCTCTATGGAACAACTGTAAAGTCAGAGCTCAGCCTAAGAACAGTCTTTCTTTCAAGAACACCTTGGGTACCATCACTCTTCACATTTCTGCAGCCATCCTTCCCACAAGTACAATGTTAAAATGCAAGACACTAGGACAACTTTGCTTTAAAGGAAAACATGTCATGACCATATAGGTTTGCTTAACACCAGCCCTGTCCCCACCTAATTTACTTTTACTAATATAATATTTCTCATTATACTTCTCTCAATACTTCTCATTCCTTGTCTTCCAGCATTAGAACCTGTGATTTGAGTGCCATTTGTTTCAGAACCCACGATTTGAGCATACTGTCCCTGTCTACTCCTAGTGTCCATTGTGAAGAATGTGGCTGGTGAATTGTCTGCCCCCTGTGATGTATGATTCTGTGTTTGCTCCATGCTCAGAATATAGTGCCTGGATTAATATTCACATCAGCTAGGAATTTGGTAGAAAGACAGAATCCAATGCCCCACCCAGACCTGCAGAACCAAAATCTGCACGTTAACAATGTTCCCCAGGTAATTCTTTGGTAGATTAAAAAAAGCTCTGTCTACAATGCAAGGGGTCTACTACTTCCCAGAAAACATGTTGGAAGTAAATCATTAAATATTAACTGTTTCATTAGCATAGGATTTTATAGTGATAGTGGGAAAATGTAAGACAGAGTTGTTGCTATTTACAACCTAGCAGAATTTATGTCCCTTACACGCAACACTTAGGGACATAATGAGACCATACATATAAAAATGGAGTAAGTGCAACAGAAGTTCAAAGAAAGGAGAACTTGATGTGGATTTCCAGGTAAGGAAGGATCATGGAAAAAGCAACAATTGAACTGAGCATAAGTAGGATGCTGCTAAAATATGACTACAAGTGAACTTTTCCAAAACTAAAACAGATGGTTTGGGTTGTCAGGTAGCACTTACTAACCATGTCAATTTTAATAAACCATTTAAGTTTTTTCTGAACATTAATAAGGCCAAAAAGGTGACATGGTGTAGTGGAAACAACAAGGTTTGGTGTCAATGGACCTGGCTCCAGTTCTAGCCAGATTGTGTTACCTTGGAACAGTTACTTTCCCTTGCTGAGCCTCATTATCCTGCTGAAAAGTGAGAATACTACCTAAGGACCACATAATAAGAGAGACATACAAATTTCCTGGTATAGCATCTGTAGCACATTGGGTGCCCATTGGATATTAGCAGTGTACCTTTTCTCCTTCCTTCCTTCTGGCAAATGTGCACTAAGTCTGTATTTGGGCTGGCAAGGAAATGCAGATGAAGAAGATCCTGAAGAGCTTGGGCTTGATGGACAAGAAGCGGGATCATCCTGCAAAGGGAAACCACAGAGCAGCTGAGCAGGGTGTTCAGAATGAAGCAGAGAGGTAGGCGCTGGCTGGTGGTAGACTGGCAAGCTCACTGAGCAGAGGAGCACAGGAAGGACTCTATGCCAGGCTTCTGTGACACAACTAACCATGTCTGCACTGGTCATTTATTTCTTTGCTCTCAGCTCCATTCTCTGAATTTCCCCTGCTCTAATCTATGTATATGGGCACTGGATCTCTTTCCCAGTGGCTTCTATGTAAGATCAGCCACTAGGAAGCTAGAAGGCTTAACAATGGAAAGAGGAGAGAAGCTGAGATTTTCATCCTGTCCTCTCCCTGCCATACTGGCAGCTTGAGCAGCACTAGTCCTCCTGGAGACTCTAACCCAAACAAACAGCCCACTCCACTGTGCTGCTAGCCCCCAGCTCTAATGATACCTCTTCTCCTCCTGGGGTCTCCTCATCCTTGGGCTGGAACAGTTTGAGCCATTTCCCAATCTCTGGGGCATTTCACCATCTTACCTTTTTGACTTCTCAGTTTTAGCTCAGTAATAGTTTCCTGAGGTTCTCTCTATTGAAAATCCAAACATGGTTTACATCTCCTGACTAGCCATTAACTGACACAGGATTTAAAACAAAACATATCTCAGATTATTTTGGGGTGATTATGAATGATTCTAAGTCTTAGAAAATATACAAATACAAGCTACCTCATGAATGATCTCCCAGTAAAAAGGAAGACAAGAATTAAGTTCAGAATTCTCCAAGCAAAAAAAAAAAAAATCAGAGCTACTAATACAGGATTACTATTAATCTGTGACTGTAATATACCACATTTAATTTATTATTTGTATGAGTGATCTGGAAAAGTGCATACAAATGCAGATATTAATTCAAAAGATGTAAGATTTGAGAGGTGTTGCAAATACCCAAAGAATAAGTCATAATCATAATTCACTCAGAGAGGCTCAGGCAGGAAGATCACAAGTTCAAGCTCAGCTTGGGCAATTTAGTGACTTAGCAAGACCCTGCCTTAAACAATTTTTAAAAAGGGTTAGGGCAATAGCTCAGTATGAAGGCTCTGGATTCAGTCCCCAGCACTGCAAAACAAATAAACAAATAAACACAAACTGACAGTTACAGAGTATGTGCACAATATAATCCAGAAACTCATAAAAATACATAGCTGGATCAAAATAGCAAAAGGATATACTGCCTGGAAAATGCACTGCTGTGTAGCTAAGAGAATGTAATCAGAAACATGGCAACTCCATGGGTAGAAAAAAAAATAGGAAATGAATCAAAAGACCAAGGAGTGACAATACAAAATTAAATGTAATTTCAAAATGGTAGAAGAAAAGAGCCTGGTTGTTGTGAGCTCAAGTACAGTACAAATACTCCATGTTGTTGTTTAAATTGATGCGCTCTCTTTACAACCTCCCTCCAATTCACACAGTACTGAGTATCCCAAAATCAACAATACCTTACCCAATTCTGCATGCCTTGATAACAAAAATTAGGAAAAAATATTAAAAATTGTAAGGCTTTGAGAAAATCAAATCTGAAAGATAATGAGCTGGAGGACATGAGGGACAAAGGAAGTTAAAAGAGCCAGATTGGCTGAGTAATCATATTTCTAGCACAGGCCCAAAGAAAATCAGGCATATTGTGTGGAACAAAGAAATTTCAATTAGAGTATAGATTTCAGTGCTGACCTAATTATCTAGTGTCCAGTTCTCATTTTTTTATGGGATGAATCCAGGAAAGTAAAATAAATTCTTGGAGATAAAACTACTCTTTCTAATAAGGAAAATTACTTCCTCTTTCTCTAAGAAGCCCCAGATGGTCACCAAACAAAATCTCAATACATTATTTTTTGTTTGGTTAGGACCTCAAATATTGCTTCTATAAGGACAATATTGACTTCTAGAGATTCAAACAATGTGTTTCCATGGGACAAGAAGGGCTTTCTTTGGAGAAAGCAGGAGTTCAAAAGAAGGACAAGAAGTCTCAGCTCTAAAAGGATGGAGCACCTGCAAATCATACCCCCAAGGAGATTATTAGTTGAAAGAAGAGTAAGGATTAAAGGTAAATACTCAGAGCTCCTTGTTAAACTGGGCTGTTAGAACCTAAGTATTCATGAGAAGCCATTTTCAAATTTAAAAGGGGGTGGGAGAGATGTGATGATAGTCAACTGTAATATAGTAAGGATCTGTCACATGATCTAATTACAGAAATGAAAGCAACCCAGGAATTATGTGGTCTATTCAAGCCTGCAAGGAGTATGAACAAAGAATATAATTATACATCAAGCCTGTTGATTAAACAATTACTATTTAAAGCAGATATAGATTTAAAATTAATTTGCTTCTGCATTCTGAGGATTTGGGCACTGAGATAAACAGTGTTTGAAGTTTAATTATCTGTGTGTAAGATGAAGGAGCTCATTTCAATTTGGTTCACTCTGCAGACCGTTTTGGATGGTGTAAAAAGAAGAATCCAACTTCGCTGCAAGTCTCGGCACTTCTGAAATGTGTGATTAAAGCAAGCAAGAAGGCTCGCTCAACCTAATCCCAGCAGAATGGGGTAATATCACAGGAAAGATGCAGCAATCACAATTGATATTTAAGCTCAAAGTTTACCTGGAGGGGCAAACTCATACAATATTTCCAAAAGAACAGAAGAAAACCAACCACACAGCCCCGACTCTGTGGCTGGGAAGCCTGGGGAAGGGACTCCTTCACGCAGGGGTGAGCAAATAGGACACCTATCTGCCAGCTACTCTGAATGGGGTGATTCTTATCTGAGACCACATGTGCAGTGCTCTAGGGCAGACTTTCAGGGTCCAAGTGTGGGCGGGGTGAAAGGGTGAATTGGAGTTGGAATGAAAGACAATCAAGAGACTAGAATATTCCAAAGGTAAAAAATGATTGTTGAGATGCATGGACTTGTGTCTGAGATCACACGCTGAGATCAAAATCCACTGGAAACAATTGCTAGACCTCAAACTCAACTCATGAACTGTCATGTAGGGGAGGTGTGGGCAGTGACCAGGCTGGGCTCAAGTCTCCCTACCCCAGGTGAAAGGGGCTACATAGAATCTTGGTGAAAAGAACAGGGTTTAGAATAGGAAAAATTTGAGATGAAATCCCACATCCACCACTTTTCATATTGGTCACTTTAGCAAAGCATTTGGCTCCTTGAGTCCTCTCCATTTCAGGAGTAAAATAGGGTTTACTCCCTCACTGGGTAAGCATAAATATAAATATGATAATGAAGTCAAGCCTAAAAGTATCTTTTCCATACTCAACCCCCACCCCTTCCAGTGGTCATCACTGCTTTCCAGGTAAAGATCTCTCTAAGGTAGGCTGCAAGCCACAGTGGTGTGACCTGCCATCCTCCGCACTCCCTCCTCCTCCTCCTCCCCAACACTGTCTCCACTCCAGCCACTCTGGCTTTTTCTCAAGCATCCATCTCTCCTCTGGCTCAAAGCCTATTTGTTTGCTTTTACTTCTGCCTTGGAACATTGCCCTCCCCTCTTCAATCAGTTGACACCTCTTTCAGATCTCACTTCAGGTTATCTTAGGTTGTGCTTAAAGCTCAGGCTCTGAAGACAATTTCAGTTCAAAACTCAACTCCACCACTTGTTCTCTGTTTTGCTTTTGCCCACATAAAATTCACCTTCCTTCTCTGCCAACAGCTTATACCATGGGGATGTCACAGGGTCCTGTGAGTTAAGGCATGCTGTGTTCTCAGAACAGAGCCTGGTTCATAGACAGCACTGGGAAATGGCTCCTGTCACATCCCCCAAAGACCTCCTGTTATGGTTTAGATTTGGAATATACCCCAAAGCCCAGGTGGTGAAGGCTTGGTCCCCAGCTTGGCGTTATTAGGGTTGGGGAATAGCAGAAGTTCTTAGGTCAATGGGGTATGCCCTCAAAGGGGATGGATAGCAGGACTCCAGCCCCCTCCTTTCATTTCTCCTTTTCGTTCCCTGGCACAAAGTGGATGGCTTTGCTCCACCACATGCTCCCCACCATGATGTGCTATCTTGCCACAGGTCCAAAATCAATGGGGCCAACCCACCATGCACTGGAACCTCCAAAGTTGCAAGTCAAAATAAATCTTTTCTAGGATCAGTGGAATAGATTAGAAGATGCAGAAACAACTTCAGACATATTCAACCACTTCATCTTTGACAAAGGAGCCAACCACCCTCATTGGAGGAAAGATAGCCTATTTAATAAATGGTGTTGGAAAAACTGGATTTCAACCTGTCAGAGATTAAAACTAGACCCATATCTATCACCATGCACTAAACTGAGATCTAAGTGGATTAAAGATCTAAATATTAAAACAGAAACACTAAACTTGCTGGAAGATAAGTTAGGTAGAACTCTTAAAGGCATTGGCATAGGAAAAGACTTTATGAACAAAACCTCAGTAGCATGGGAACTAGCACAAGGAATCAACAACTGGGATCTCATCTTATTAAAAAGCTTCTGCACTGCAAGAGAAACTACCAACAGAGCTAAGAGACAACCTACAATATAGGAAGAAATTTTTAGCAGCTCTACCTCAGACAAAGGCCTACTATCTAGAATATATAAAGAATTGAAAAAAATCAGACCTCCCAAATTCAAAGACCCAATTCAAAAATTGGCATCCAAAATGAACAGACATTTCTCAGACAAAGAAGTAAAAGCAGCAAATAAACATATGAAAAAATGTTCAACATCACTGGTCATTTGAGAGATCCAGATGAAAACAACACTGAGATTCCACCTCACCCCACAAAGAATGGCTGCTATCAAGAAATCAGCCAATAACAAATGCTGGCGGGGGTGTGGCGAGAAAGGAGCCCTTCTCCATTGTTGGTGGGAGTGCAGACTGGGGCAATCACTATGGAAATCAGTGTGGAGATGCCTCAAAGAACTAGGGCTGCAGGTCCCATTTGACCCAGCTATTCCCTGGCTGGGTTATTTTCCCAAAAGAATTAAAAGAATTGTACCACAGAGATATATGTGCACTCATGTTAATTGTGGCACAGTTAGTAATAGCTAAAGCTTGGAAACAGCCCAAGTGCCCATCAACTGGAAACTGAATAAAGAAGATGTATTTTTTTTATAAAATGAAGTACTACTCAGCCACAAAGAATGAGAAACTAGAGTCATTTATAGCTAAATAGATGCATATTGAGACCATCCTCTTAAGTGAAATAAATAAGACACCATGTGTAAATACCAAATAGTTTCTCTAGTGTGAGAAACTGAGAGTGTAAATAAGGACTAAAAGGATTAATAACTAATAAATGATACTTTGAAATAGGAAAAGATCCAAAGGGGTAGGGGTGGCAGGAGGAGATGGGGAAAGGAAAGAATGGAAAGCAAAAATTATGAGAAAAGAAAAAAAAATGGAAACAAAATCTATGTAAATAGGGAAGGGTGGAGGGGTGAAGGGCACACAGGTAATGGGGAAAAAATAAGAGCCAAGATACATCATGTACAGGTACAAGCACCCAAAGATAAATGTAAATGTATTGTATACTTAAAATGTACCAATAAAAGAATTTAAGTAAAAAAATAAAATTAAATTTAAAAATAAACCTTTTCTCTCTATAAAATTATTTTTGGGGCATTTGTTATAGCAACAGAAAGCTGACTAAAACATCTCCCTTCCATACCGTTTATCACACTTGCAATTCCATGTGTGATTATTTTTAACATGTCTGTCCCTCCACTAGAATGAATGCTCCACAGGGCAGTTTGCCAGGGTTTGCTCCACGTTACAGATTTTGTTCCTGGTTGAGTACACTCTCAGACATTTGCTAAGGGGGAAAAATGAATGAAAATACCAGTGCCTGATACATAGTAGTGCCTCAATAAATACTAGCTTTAAAATTTAAAAAAGCTAATAATGCCAATTGATAAGTGAAAAAATAATTATTTGCTTTACCCAGTGATTCTTAATTAAGAGTGATTTTGTCACCCAGGCAACCTGAGGCTGGTGGGAATGCTACTGGCATCTGTGGGTGTAGTCAGGGAGGCTTCTAAACATCCTGCCACATACAGGTGAGCCCTCCCACTGCAAGGAATTGCCCAGCACAAAATGCCAGTGGTGCCAAGATCGAGAGACTCTGAATTTTCTTCTGTCATTTTCCCCTGATAGCTTAACTCATGAAGTGAGTTAGATAGTCTTAGCTTTTACTCTGTCCATATCAAAGAGCACAAGGTTATTCTTGCCTCTCCCTCTCTCCCCCAAACTCTACTGGACACTCTGGACACCTACATTCCTCCACATCCTTTTGTCAGTTGTGAGACTGAAATGTAGGAAGGTGAGTGAAACTGAAGGAAAGTAAACACTCTAAGACCTCCTTCCCCATTTTGTTAACTCTTCTCTGTCATAAATACATCCCTGTTTTCAGCAAAAGTTTCAACAGAAGCAAAATTTGAACAACCTCACTTGGCTTTGCCCACAAAGCTGCTTGAAATATAATGTTTCAAAAAAAGTTCATGTAGCTAAAAAGAATAGGGCAGGGCTGACATGTGCAATCTGTCAGACCTAGTACAGAGATGGCTCTAAGACAAAAGAGAACCTAACAATAAATGTTGTGCTCAAAATTAGCAAAAGGTAAAGTCACAAGGATGGATTACAGATATGAGTGGGAAATTGGAGCAGATTATTCTGAACCAGGAACTTGATAATGCCAAATGCTCAAGGGTACACAATGCTAGAAATTACTTTAAAATTTAAAATTCAATATTTAATTGATTACATAAATAACATGTACACGATGTATTTCAAAAATAAATTACAAGTACTGGCAAGAATGTGGAGAAGGGCCGGGGATTTAGCTCAGTGGTTCCACTGCCTGCCTCGCAAGTGCAAGGACCAGAGTTTGATCCCTGGTACCAAAAAAAAGAATGTGGAGAAATTGGAAGCCCAAACAGACAAAAACCTCAGCACTGGTCTTCAGTTCTCAAGAATATCATTCTTATTCACAGATTCAGAGCTCTGGGTTTTGAATATTTGCCCTGTGTCTCTCTCATTGCCTCTTTCTCAGTCCAATTTTATCACCAAAATTCACTGTTAGAGAGTAAAATGATTCAGCCACTGGGAATAACAGTTTGGTAGTTCCTTGGAAAGTTAAACATAGAATCACCACATAATTCAGAAATTCAGCTCCTAGAGTTAGACCTAAACATGATAAAAACAGATACTTAAACAAGAACATGTAAGTGCATGTTCATAGAAACACTACTTACGATAGCTGAAATATGGAAATGACCCAAATGTCCACAAACAGATGAACTAATAAACAAAATGTGGTATATCCACACAATGGGTCACTATTCAGCCACAAAAGGAGGGGCATACTCATACATGCTACCACCTAGATGAAAAAACAGTACACTGTTAAAAGTCATATATTATAAAATCCCACTTATATGAATATCCATAATAGATAAATCCATAGAGACAGAATGTGGATTGATTTGCCAAGTCCCAGAGAAAGAGGAAAATACACAGAAACTGTTTAAAGGGTAACAGATTTTATCCAGTAAACAATTTGGAAGTGTTTCAGAACCAGACTAAGGTAGTGGTTGCAAAGCAGTGTGAATGTATTCATTGCCACTGAATTTTGCACATTAAAATGCTTAGTTTTGTATTGTATAGTTAACCTTGGTAATCTTTTTAAAATGTTGAAATTCATGCATCCAAAACTGTTAAACACTGAAAAAGAGAAAATATTTCAAAACAGAAATGGTAGCTTAGAGAAATATTATTTTTAAAGTTATAATCTGATTTTATTTTTAAGTGATATATATTGGTTATAAACATTTTAAAGGATATGTGAAAGCCCTCAAAAAGAATGCAGAAGTTATCAATATTTCTAGTTTTTTCAAAATATTCTTTAGTGTTTATGTTAAATTACCTTTGCAACTAATGACAACAAGTTAGGCATGGTGGCACATACCTGTAATTCCAAATTGAGGCAGAAGGACCACTGCAAATTTGAGGACAACCTGGGCTACATAGTGAGAACACCAGACTGAACTACATAGTGAGACCCAGTATTTAAAAAACAACAACAACAACAACAAAACCGAAACTCTCTGTATTCAGTTAAGATAAATCACGCAGATTTATTTCTGCCAAGTCATTTGCTAAAAACTTGTTTCTCTCTGTGGGCAAATTGAGGCTGGGAGACCAAGCATTGTGAAGGAAACAGGTAAGTCTTTGACTGTGGACTAAGACCTCTTTTTTCCCCTTCCAACCATCCCAGATCAGAGTATCTGGCTCTCATCCAGCTGGTCAAGCCTGGGTTCTGCAAGAGCGTGAAAGTCTCTCCTGCTCCACATCTGAGCCATCAACACTTTGTGAAAGAGACTGGAATTCCACTCTTATCTGCACAGCCTTTTCCTGCACACAGCAAGAATTTCTCACCAGTATTTATGATATTAGCCTCTGGGAATGAGGAGAAGGGGGTTTTGTGCTCTTCATTTCATGAAAAAAGATGATTATTTCCAAAAGATTGTAAAGGATGGTGTAGCAGTATGTCTCACTTTCTATCTATCTCACTTTCTTCTAAACCTTTTTGAGTATGAACATGAATAAAACAATGAGGAAAAAGAGGAGTAGAAATGTGGGACTTGGCACCTTATAGTAAAGGCATGCTACTGAGGACTCCACAACTACCTATCAAGGGCTTATTTGTAACCAGATGCTATAGCTTGCATATTTGCATCCCCCTAGAATTCACAGGCTGAAATCCAACCCCCAGGGTTGGGGACTTTTACAGGCAATTAGGTCATGACTGTGGACTAGTGCCCTCATGAATAGGACTAGTGCCCTTATGAAAAAGATCCAAGAGAGCTCTCTTACTACTTCCACGAGGCAAAGACACAAGAAGCCAGACATCTATGAGCCAGGATACAAGCCGTTGGCAAACACTGAACCTACAGCATCCAATCTTGGACTTCCAACCTCTAGAACTGTAAGAAGTAAATTTCTGTAGTTTATAAGGTACCAGTCTATGGTATTTTGTTATCACAGTACAGATGCATAAGAGGGAGCACTGAGGAGGTGTTATCTCTAAGACTCAAAAACACCATCTTGCGACACAGATTCAGAGTGACTTTGGGTTTGGAATATTTACTCTTTTTTCCAACCTATCATTGGCCTCTTTCTCAATCAGTAGACTCAAAACCAACCCCCCCCCAAAAAAAAAAAAAACAAGTAAAGGAAACAAAAATGGATGGTAACTGTCGAAATCATCAATTTGGGAACAAAGTCTAGTAGATTTTCCAAATATAGAGTTTCCTATAGCTGAGCTCCCTGGTATGGGATGGCTATCCCACAGTTGATGAAAGTCCCAATTCTTATCCATTTCCCTGGGGGAACTTAGCATTAATTTCCCCCAAAATGTTTTCCTTGAGGAAATGTGACCACAAACAATCACATAAAAGTTGACTAGTCAGCTGGCTTTCCTCTCTTTTTTTGCAATGAGTGATATATAGACACACAAAATACCCACAGCAGGTTCCAACAGAGAACATAACCAAAAGAAGGTGGCGGGGGGAAGAGACAAAGATTTAGTAGAATGCTTTATGTTCTCTTGTTTAGACTTGTTGTGAACATAGATGTGAGAGATCAATGGAAACCTAAAAATGAAGTCAGGTCTGCTGATCTTATAGCAAGCAAAAACACTTCTGAGCTTCTCCTTCTTCAGATTTTAGGATTTCTGACTCAACCCAAAACTTACCTTGGTCAAGACATTGAAGCCCAGTTGTCTAAAATGGGATTGATTTTACTCTGGGTTTTACAGAACTGGCTGTGGGGTTCAGCTAATGATTCTGAAGAGGAAGAACTTCATAGCTTCAAAAAGATACATTTCCATATAAATCAAAGCAAGGCCACCAAATGTGAAGAGCTCCTATCCCAAGCTCTGAGAGAACAAAAATTAAAAGTGCCCTCATGAGAAACATGATGTCACAGAACTAGGACACATTGTGATTATGCTGTCAGTGTTACCAAATCTAATCATACGTGGCTTCGAAAACAAGACAGATAGTCAGTTTTATTTAGATCAACATCTGGAAGCATGTTCCACATAGCTCTATAAAAGAGGAAAGTCAAACCTTGGGACTCCTCCACTCATTCTTCCTATACCAGGCTGAAAACCTTCACAGCACAATATGTCTCTACGATTTCTTAAGATAGCTTCGCAAAATTGCACAAAGGTTGGCAGCAATCATTTTCCAAACTTGCCAGGCTTAGTTTTTTGTTTTGTTTTGTTTTGTTTAGGGTGAAAAGCATCTAATGGCCATGAATACTTCATTTAGCTTGTTTTTTTTAATACATTGCAAGAAGTCCAATCTTCAGTTCTAGACCAAATATCGCATTTTAATATCCAACTTCTGGAAAAATCTCATCCAAGTCTTTTATTAAGCTGTTCTCAAACACCTCAGTGTTTGCAGAGAACCCTGCAATAACTTAGTAGCCAAGACTTGGATAGTGACCTAAGTCACTACCAGAAGGAAACTGCACTTACTTCAGAGAGAAGGACCCTCAGGGCTCTATGGAGATTTACAACCAATTGCCAAGATCTCTTTGGAGTCAGAAACAAAGTGCAGGTCCAGACTTTCAAACCTGGCCTCCAAGGCTTGTTCCACACAGACAGGGAAGGGGCAGCTGGCTCCACTGGTGAGGTGAGCAATGAGTGAAATACCTTCCTTTTTGATCCATGGTGGTTCCTGAGTTTATCATTAGGCTTATGCCTTACGAGTCTTTCTGACACAGACAAAGCTTGTACTGAAGCGTTTTAAGGTGTTGCCTACCAAAGTAATAGTAGTTCGCTAACATATGAATATGTTTTCCTTTATCAGGACAAGCTGGTATCACTCCCTACGAGGCTCAGGACAGATAAGTCTAGGTAACCAGCTAAGAAGGAAGGGGAGATTATTCCAAAGTATGGGATTATCTAGGCCCAGAAGAAATGAAATAGTAAAGGAGGTAATGATGGGCAGTGGGGGTGGAGGATGAAAATAGTAGACATTTGGCTGGCTTTGAAATACAGCAAAATGAACACAGGAAATGAAAACCAGATTTGGCTGAATTTACAAATCTGCCCAAGACCAGTTCAGTTTCCAAGAGAGACCAATGGAAGCAGGGTGTGACTGTTGCAGGATAATGTCTTCTCTACTCTGATTCTGGGCACCACTTCTACGGAACCATAAACTCTGACAGAGCTGCAAGGTTGTGAGCATGGGTAGGAGCCTGGAAATGTGCAAGGAAGGACCAGAAGTTTCCAGGTAGGGAGTTGTGCAGAGGGCCAGAGGCCTTGGGATTGCCATGGGATGCTATGCCAGCCTGTCTCCTAGGGAGGCAGGTGTGCCTGACTAAGGTCAAGTTGTGACTGAGCCTGAATCCAACTGGGCTTTCTGATCTAGCAAAAGAGAGCATGTGAGAAAGAGCTGGTGACCTGGATGGGCCCATACTGAAGCTGGCATGAAATCCATGGTTGTCAACCTCAGCACACCCTTGCCATTCTCCTCCTCTCTTCCAAGGTCTCCTTCTTGCTCCTCCAGGGCTGCCAGGCAAAATTGTCAGAGACATGGCTTATTTCTTTGATGAAATATAATTATCTAATGGTGAATTGATAAAGCTTAATTTTTATTACACATGCAGTGTTTGCAACAGATTCTTCTCTACATCTAAACAATCCTCACATTTTAGCTTCACAACTTCCCACAGTGTCTCGGCTTACTTTCTTCAAATTGATCTCTGGATGCCTGGGGTTCTCTCAGGACCCATCCTCAAGAAACAGGACAAATGTCCCTCAACTTGTCTGAAAATACCTTCTTATCACCAAGACTTACCTGTCCTGCTGTTCATCCCCTCAGCCTTTGCCCAGTGCTGTCTATTCTGACAAACTGACCTATGCCAAAAGGGAATGGGGGCTTAGAGTTTGTTATCAGAGTCAAATGAAAAAAAGTGGTATCTACAGGTGAATATTACTCTCATTTTAGCAGAATCTTAGTCCTCATACAGAACAGAGATTTTGGTAGGGACTCTTTAAGACCATCCATCTAAATGAGTGTTCTGTTCTGGGGAATTTCAGCCACCCAAGCAGGTTGGCACGAGAGCAAGGAAGAGAGTGAGCCTGCAGGTTCTGGCTCTCCTATGCCCACACTTTCAAAGCCAGCCACCCACTCCTCTTGTGGCAGCTGCCCATCCTATGCCCAAACCACATTTTGATTCATTCAATTGAATCTATTTTTTAAAAACAATTTTGATCTATGGTTAATAAAATAAACTGTTTGGAGGATACAAGAGCAGTAACAAACTGTTAGTTCCCAATTATAGAAAATTGCATTCCCTGGGGCCAAATATCTTATAAAATCTTCTGCAGTTAGAAAATAACATTGTTTAGGGATTTGTGCTTTTAGAAAAGGGGTGAAATTGTTTTTATTTCAGACTCAGCTCTGTTACTTTCCAGCTCTGTAAGATGGGACAAGTTTAACTGCTCAGCATCTCAAGTTCTTTATCTATAAAATGGGGATAAACACACCTATCACAGGTTGTGAGGACTTGGTTGACCTCTTACATAAAACCCACAAACCATGTAACTCATGATGTGTTATACAGTAGAGAAGGGATAATAGTAGCCACCACAGCAGGTATTCCCAGTCATCTTGAGAGTGGAAGTATTTGACTGTCAAAAGATACTCAAAGGTAACCATATGATACATACATTATTTTTTTTACTTAAATTATTTTATTGGTACATTTTAAGTTTACAATACATTTACATTTATCATTGGGTGCTTGTACCTGTACGTGATGTATCTTGGTTCTTATTTTTTCCCCATTCCCTGTGCTTCCTTCACCCACTCCACCCTTCCCTATTTACAGACTTTGTTTCCATTTCTTTCTTTTCTCATAATTTTTCCTTTCTCTTCTTTCCTTTCTCCTACACCTTTGGACCTTTTCTTCCTATTTCAAATTATCAATTATTTGTTTTAATCATTTTAATCCCTATTTACACTTTCAGTTTCTCACACTAGAGAAATTATTCGATATTTACACATATGTGTCCTATTTATTTCACTTAAGAGTATGGCCTCAATATTCATCCACTTAGCTATAAATGTCTAGTTTCTCATTTTTTATGGCTGAGTAGTACTCCATTTTATTTTAAAAAATCATATCTTCTTTATCCAGTTTCCAGTTGATGGGCACTTGGGCTGTTTCCAAGCTTTAGCTACGAACTGTGCTGCTATGAACATAGGTGCACATGTATCTCTTTGGTATGATTCTTTTAACTCTTTTGGGAAAATACCCAGCAGGGAAATAGCTAGGTCAAATGGGACCTCCAGCCCTAGTTCTTTGAGGTATCTCCACACTGATTTCCATAGTGGTTGCACCAGTCTGCACTCCCACCAACAATGGGGAAAGGGTTCCTTTCTCTCCACACCCCCGCCAGCATTTGTTATTGGTTGATTTCTTCATAGCAGCCATTCTTTGTGGGGTGAGGTGGAATCTCAGTGTTGTTTTCATCTGGATCTCTCGAATGACCAGTGATGTTGAACATTTTTTCATATGTTTATTTGCTGCTTTTACTTCTTTGTCTGAGAAATGTCTGTTCATTTTGGATGCCAATTTTTGAATTGGGTCTTTGAATTTGGGAGGTCTGATTTTTTTCAGTTCTTTATATATTCTAGATAGTAGTCCTTTGTCTGAGGTACAACTGCTAAAATTTTTTCCCACATTGTAAGTTGTCTCTTAGCTCTGTTGGTGGTTTCTCTTGCAGTGCAGAAGCTTTTTAATAAGATGAGATCCCAGTTGTTGATTCCTTGTGCTAGTTCCCATGCTACTGAGGTTTTGTTCATAAAGTCTTTTCCTATGCCAATGTCTTTAAGAGTTCTACCTAACTTATCTTCCAGCAAGTTTAGTGTTTCTGTTTTAATATTTAGATCTTTAATCCACTTCAATCTTAGTTTAGGATACACACATTATTAAAGAGACTTGGAAATCATTGGCACTCAAGAATTTCACATTTGCCCTTTGAGTCAGCTGGTAAAACCTTGAAGTGTCTCCACCTTGGAACAAGCATTTCTGCCCTCAAGATAGACATCACCTGTCTCTGGTAGTTCCCAGAAACAGAGGAGGGTCAAGCCACCCCTCCAAGGAGACTTCTCCTCCCACCAACCAGTGGGGCCCATTCCCTATCCTTCCCTTACCTCACCCTTTCTAGCCACCCACTGCCCACTCCCCTCCTAGCCAGGGCATCATGCAGGAGCTGAATCTCAGGCAGTGCTCTTCTGCCTTGAAAATGTGTACCCAGATTAATCAGTAACCAGCAGCCCTCTGCTGCAAGTTAGTCTCCCCTGACATGAGTCCCTTCTCCTGCCAGCCTGCAGATGTGCCTTTTTTAGGAAGATTCAATTCCCAGCCTTCACCCTTCCTGCCAATGACAGCCCCCCTCTTTGAAGGTTACCTGTAGCTGCCATCTTGCACATGAATACAAAGTAAAATGGGTGCTTGTTCTGACCTTGCAGAAGCACATCAGTCTGTGTATGAGTTCTGAAAAGGAGCACTTGACATTTGCTGTCTCATTGTGTCAGGGCTGAGAAAGGGAAGCCTCACACAAGGGATATTCTCTTAGGTCCAGGGATGTGACTTGTGAATGACACTTGTCAACTAAACCTTGCACTGATATTCAGCCAGCATGATGTGGAAGTAATGGTAATGAAATCCTGCAGGAACACATTTGAATAGAATCAAAGTCATATGTGGAATTTTTCCTCATATGCCAAGGCTTGTCAGCATATATTAACCTTTTGGCAGCTTGAAAAAAGTCACAAAACTAGGATGATTCACTCATTCAATCATTCTTCAAAGATTTATTGAGCACTCATTATGTACCAAGCCCTGTACCCAG